GTTTGTTACCGCAAGAAAACTTTATTGGAAGTACTCGGTGTAACTTGCAATTTACTTGAAGTATTGCAGTGGTGAACTCTATGTGGTCGTCGAGCTCTGTGATAATGGTAACCTCAAAGAGTATCTCTTGAAGCATAAGAATAAATTCATTAATGAATTGAAACAAACTCAATTGCCTGATGACGGTTACCTTCGACCTGATTCCAGTATCAAGAGCCATTATGCTGTGAGTTCCCCTTGAATAACACTCATTTCTCCATTTTATTCATTTCAGTCTTTTCTTTTTTCATTTCTTTTTTTGTTGTATTTTTTTCAAACTGTCTGTACTTGATACGTGTTTCTATTTAGTCGGAACAGATTCCGGATTGGTCAAATGACATGGAATCGGATCGTTTGCTTTCTGATAGTGCCATGTTGGCTACCAGTGATTTAATTTCGTTCGCAATGCAAGTTGCAAATGGAATGGAATATTTGTCATCGATACCGGTTTGTCATTTATAATATATTTGATATTTTTTACCAATAGTTGATTACTTGAACTTGTGGGACATATGAAGCGAGCTTTATGGATTGATTTTGGACAACTCGAGAGCCAACCCATAAAGATTTCGGGTTACCTTTTTCATCATTCGACTGCTGTCATTATAGTTTTGTCTACTTTTGATGATATTCTTTAGTTGAATTGCCTTTTTACCTTTTCAATTGAATTGTCAAACTGACGGGTCCCAAGAATCATGCGTTGCCAGAATGCTACTACCCATTTCTTAATTTGGAATTGTATAACAAAGTTATAGCGTTCTGAAATATCTGAGCTTCGGGTGTATGTTGTCTAGATATCCCTTCTGTATACGAGTTCCAAGGTCCATTTTGAAGTTCGTTTTCAGAAGGCCCAAAAACTTTAAAAAAAGGCTGAAAAGGAGGTTATCACTAGTAAAATTTCGAGACCTCATTAGTACCCTCTGAAAAACCAGGGGCGAAATCAGTATGTTGAGGAAAAAACTGAAAAAAAACAAAAGAAACAAGTTAAGAGAAACCTAATAGCAAACCTGTTTGTTTTAGCTAAAATATAGAATCGAGTCCGAATAGTTGTTAGGGACGCTGAGACTCAAGCAGTGAATAAATTACTTTTTTGAGGAACTGTATAATTCGTATAATTCAAATTAGGTGATGTTAAGAACAGTACTGGCATCTACCTGAAGTTCAAAGTCAATTTTACTCGTTTTCAGTGTATCCATCGAGATTTGGCTGCTAGAAATGTGTTACTGACTAGGAAACGAATTTGCCGCATAGCGGACTTTGGTATGGCGAAGAACGAGAACAAGAACTATTACAGGTTCGAACTGTCTGAAGAACATTTATTCGATGTACTAGAGAGTTCTATTGCAACAAAAAAGTTTTCCTACAGGTTGCGCAAGAGAAACGTGCTGGTACCGTATCGCTGGATGGCCATCGAAGCGATCCAGGACGGTGTGTATACACTAGAAGTGAGTACTTGGGTGCACTTACGAGATTAGCATGATATTGGTTCGCCATTAGGCGAAAAGGCCATGGTAGATGGGTGAACTGATGGAAAATTGAGGAAGTCTAGTAAATTTCAGTGATTACCTTTATAAAATGAACCATTTGCTGTTTACTTATGTAGCCCTTCACGCGGTAATGAATAAGGTCGAGAAAAAATTACCCAAAAAACATCGAACCTACAAAATCAATAGAATTGGGGTAATAATTAATTCATTGCGGAAGGATGAAAGGAAAACGGATCTAATGATGAGCTTTGGAAGGCTTTAGAGCAAAACTCCCCCCTCCCCCCCTTTTCCTCCTTCCCTTGCCCGCTCCCTTCCCTTTTCTCATGGAATCCATTGCTGATCCTCGAGACTCCTTTGACTGATGAGTACCATCGGGTCCATTCCTTTCCTTGTCGGTGACACCATAGNCCCCCCCTTTTTCCTCCTTCCCTTGCCCCCTCCCTTCCCTTTTCTCATGGAATCCATTGCTGATCCTCGAGACTCCTTTGACTGATGAGTACCATCGGGTCCATTCCTTTCCTTGTCGGTGACACCATAGTTTCAAGTGGAGCTCTCCGACAACAATTTCATACTTTCTTTCCTTTATATGTATTGTTTATTTACTTATATTTACGTATGATTGCCTTTTTAGTCCGACATATGGTCATTTGGTATTCTTCTGTACGAGATCTTCACGCTCGGTGGTTTACCTTACCCCACTATCTCGAATGAAGACCTCCTGCCGAAACTACTCGATGGATACAGGAACTCAAAACCGCAATACTGCCACGAAGATATGTAAGTACACTCCATTGGAAATTTTGGATCTTTGCTTTGAAGCCTTTCACACGGGAGGAAGGAATCTCATCCCAATATTGGATCTTAGAGCAGATTATGCCTACTTTATTACGAGCGTTACTTCTTGCGCTTACGTTGAGCTGTTGATAACCATTCTCAGAAGTGGTAGAGCGCGTTGCTGACATCCTTCTTTCATTTCTTAAACCCACTTGTATCAAGTATTGTTATGTAATTGTTATGTATTGGACCATCTCCTTGTCAGTGATCAGGACAATCGGAGAACAGACGACTGACAGCCGACCTGGCCCATACAGACGATCTTTATAAGTACAAAGTTATTCTAAAGTAAGTGAGTTAACAGGACCCATTCCACCGACAATCTCATTTCCGCCAAAATGATGGGGCTGCTCGTTGATTCTTATAAACCCAAGCAGTTCGTTATACAAGGCGACTGAATCGCACTCCCATTATTATTGCAGGCCATTTCTTAAGCCCAGTAATTATGTGTTATACAAAGATTGAGCGGTACAGCGAAGTTCTTGTACTCGTACC